CGTACGGTCGTCGTCTCTCTCTCTCTATAGTATATATATATATATATATATATATATATATATATATATATATATATACATGACACCCAACCAAGATCATTGCTAACCAAGTCACCCAACCCTTAGTACCCGTTCGTTCCTCTACCGATACTCCTGGGACCACGAAGATCTCGTCGAGTATCCCTGGGACAGTGAGTACTTGCAAGGTCCGGAGATTCTGAAATACCTGGAACACGTCGTAGAGCGACACCATCTCCGGCCGCACTTCCAGTTCGGGACCGAGATGCTGGGAGCCGACTGGAGCGACTCGGAGCGCCGCTGGACGGTGGCCCTCTCGACGGGCGAGGTAGTGAAAACCACGTACCTGGTCACCGCCCTCGGCCTCCTCTCCCGGACCAACTTTCCCCAGATCCACAACCTCGACCAGTTCGCCGGCGAGCTGTACCATACCGCCGCATGGCCGAGGGACGCCGATCTGAGAGGCAAACGGGTCGGCGTCATCGGGAACGGGTCCACGGGCGTGCAGCTCATCACAGCCCTGGCCAAGTCGGAGGAGCTGCAGCAGCTCCTCTGCTTCCAGCGCAATCCCCAGTACACCGTCCCCGCGGGCAACGGCCCCGTGACACGCGAGGCGCGGAAAGCCCTCAACGAGAATTACCGGGCAGTCTGGGAAGAGGCGATGAGGAGCAAGTTCGCCTTCGGCATCCACGAGACCACGCGGACGACAGCCAGCGTGAGCGCCGAGGAGCGCGAGCGGATCTACGAGGAGGCGTGGGCAAAGGGCAACGGCTTCTGCTTCATGTTCGAGACGTTCGGCGACATTAGCATCGACGAGGCGGCGAACACCGCCGCGGCGGACTTTATCCAACGGAAGATCCGCGCGATTGTCCAGGACAAGGAGAAGGCGCGCAAGCTGTGTCCGACGCAGTGGTACGCGCGCCGCCCGTTGTGCGACTCGAACTACTACGAGCAGTTCAACCGTGCCAACGTCGACATCGTCGATATCAAGACGCACCCCATCACCGAGCTCACGCCGGCAGGCATCAAGACCGCCGACGGCCGGGTGTATGAGCTCGACGTGCTTATTTGCGCCACGGGCTTCGATGCCGTGGATGGCAACTATACGCGCATGTGCGTGAGGGGCCGAGGAGGGGAGACGCTGAAAGACCACTGGGCCGAGACGGGTCCGACCTCGTACCTGGGCATGAGCGTCGCAAACTTCCCCAACCTGTTCATGGTGCTGGGTCCCAACGGCCCGTTCTCGAACCAGCCTCCGGCTATCGAGAGCCAGGTGGACTTTATCGCCGAGCTCATTGCCCGGGCGGAGAGCACCGCACCGCGGGCGACAGTCCGCGGTCCGGCATCGGCCCAGGCGAATGGCTTCACCATGCCTGAGCCGACCCAGGCGCAGGGCGGGAGTCAGACGCAGGAAGCCGGCCCAGGCGTCGTCTGTCGCGGCGTGATTGAGGCCGAGCTAGAGGCGGAGAAGAGCTGGACGGAGCACTGTGAGCGGATCAGTGCCGACAGCTTGTTCCGCAGGGTCGACTCGTGGATATTCGGCAAGAACATTCCGGGGAAGAAGGCCGCGACCGTGTTCTACTTTGGCGGCTTGGGTGCGTATCGGAAGGAGGTGCGCGACCGGATCGAGGACGACTTGCGAGGCTTCCGGGTATCGTGAGGGGCATGGATGTTGACTTGATTCACATCTATGCAGCAGCTTTCTTGGATAGCTAGTAGTAGATATTTTGATACTGGTTTGCTAAGTTCACCTATCCCGTAAGACGTGTATTCCATGCACTCCACCATCATCGCCTTCTAGATTTCCACTTCTCCGTCTCTCATTTTGCAGAACCTGTCTCGGTATCATCGCGGGTAGAGTTGTTGTTATTGTTGACATTATGTAATTCTCGGCTCGCTGGCTATACGAATCGCCTGATAGGGGAAATAGTGGAGCCCTGCAGCCAGTCAGTCGTCGATTGAGTTGCGCAGCAAGTTTAGTCAGGTTTGCCAAGATATGTTCGATTGAGTTGAGAGACTTTTCCCGTCTGAGAAGCAAAGCTCACGGCATCCACTCGTCCACTTTGACGCCATTGTTTCGTCGGCCCATCCATCTTGCAGCCGGTCTCGGGAACGGGCCCCGGATAGTGGCATATTAGTCATACGAGTGACGTCGGTTGACGCTTTTCGTTTTCGTGTTTCTGGATCTCTGTTCGCTTAGGAAAACCACGACGGAGGAGGATATCTTTGTCGGGATGAGAAATCAACAGGATCATCCATTCGCCACAGCTTGTAGTAAGATTCGGTTTCCCTACTTATATCCGCATGCGCACACGAACAGGTCAAGTTTGATCAGATAATCAATCATCCATCAGCCAATCTTCCATCGTCATCCCCTCGCTGTCGAACACCAGGACGAAATGGCCCCCAAAGGAAGCGTATTTCTGCTTGGCCCGGGCTTTATCGGTCTCGAGATCCTCGCCGAGCTGCTCAGAGAAGGCTACGAGGTCACGACGCTCGTCCGGAGGCCGGAGGCCGCGGCGGAGCTGAAGACCCGGGGAAGCAAGACCGTCCTGGGAAACCTGGACGACCACGACATCATCGCCGCCACGGCGGCCCGCTCCAACATCGTCATCCACACGGCGACGGCCGACCACCAGCCCTCCGCAGAGGCCGTCTTGGACGGGATCGCGAAGCGCAAAGCCGCGGGGGAGAGCACCATCTACATCCATACGAGCGGCTGCAGCGAGCTCACCGACAAGGCCGACGGCGCCTTCAAGAGCGACCAGATCTACGAAGATGACCGACCCGCGGATATCGACGCCATCGACGACGCGGCGCCGCACCGCATGGTCGACCTCGCAATCCTCTCGCGACGCCGGGAGCTGGGCGCCGGGGCCAAGATCTCCATCGTCCTCCCGCCCGTCATCTACGGCCTCGGCAAGGCGTCGGGCAAGCTGTCCATCCAGATCCCCACCATGGCGCGCTTTGCCCGCAAGCACGGCTACGCGGGCTACGTGGGCAAGGGTCTCGCGGTCTGGGGCCAGGTGCACGTGACGGACCTCGCGCGCGGGTACCTGACCATCCTGCACTGGATGGAGGCGACGGATGGCGAGCGGGTGCTCGAGAACCCCTACTGGTTCATCGAGAACGGGGAGGAGCTCTCGTGGAAGGAGATGGCGGCAGCCGTGGGGCAGGCGCTGGTTGCCGCGGGCGAGATAGCCGATGCGGCGCCGAGGGAGATTCCCGCCGAGCTGTACGGGGATCTGTTTGGGGAGTGGTCGATGGCCGTGGTGGGCGAGAATGCCCGGAATCGCGCGAATCGGCTGCGGGCGCTGGGGTGGAAGCCGCAGGAGAAGTCGACTTTTGAGTCGTTAAGGGACGACGAGATCCCGGTGATTATGGCCGAAGACACTGCAGCGTACAAGGGCTACGCGAAGGCCGTGGCTTCTTGAATAGTATCACGTATGCATGTATCCAGTCGAATCGCTACAAATTCCAAGTTACAACCCGGCCATTATGAGATAACCGATAACTAATAGGTAGGGAACTAGTCGAAGATTCTCATTATCTACGCGAGTACTTGATGCACGGAGTGCATATCTTAACCTTATGCTCCTGCCTTTCTTGGTCGGCTTCATTACCCCGCTTAGAAAGCCGGCCGATCAACATTGAAATGGAATTTCTCAACAGATCAACAATACCCCTCTTCTTGGCAGAGTATCAGGGTGTGGAGATGATGGAGGGAGGTGGAGAGTGGGTCTGGAAGCCAAGCGGACTTCTCGGCTATAGTGTTGATGTGTATTTATACATACGTATATTGGTGCATATATATATCTATAATCAGAGGGTGCCCAGCTGTGAACAGCAAGCGAGCTTCCCCGACGTTGCGGTTCTGTTACTGAATATATAACAGGCTTACACAGTATCGATTGACAGCACGTTATCTCATTATATAAACTGGGCTCGCTCGCTCTCTACGCAGTACTACGCTCCACGTCCAACCTTGCTTCATTCGACATGGCTGCCAATATCCGAGCTCTCCGGTTCTACGGAAGAGGAGACATCAAGCTGGAATCGGTCCAGGCAGCGTCAGTGACCTTCACACATCCACATGCTCTAGACTACGATCCACCGACCCTGACACGTCTGACAGTCCATGCGGGAGCGATGAGGTCCGCGTGAAGATCGCGTACTGCGGCATCTGCGGCACCGACATCCACGAGTACCTGGGCGGGCCCATCTTCCCGCCCCAGCCCGGGCAGAAGAACCCCCACAGCGGCGCCGAACTCCCCGTGACCCTCGGCCACGAGATGTCGGGCACCATCCTCGAGGTCGGGGCCGGCGTGACGGCGGCCCTCCACGTCGGCCAGCGGATCTGCGTCAACCCGTCCATGGACGACCGGCACCACGGCCGGGCCGCCTGCGCCGCGTGCCGCGCGGGCCGGCCGAACCTCTGCGCGCGCTGGACGTGCTACGGGCTCAGCGCCCGCGGCGGCGGCCTCGCGGGGGAGATCGTCGTCAAGGCCGTCAGCTGCCTGGGCCTGCCGCCGGGCGTCTCGCTGCCGGTCGGGGCGCTGGTCGAGCCCCTAGCCGTGGCGGCGCACATGCTGCGCCTCGCGGGCTTCGCGGCCGGCCAGGACGTGGTGGTGCTGGGGGCGGGCCCCGTGGGGCTGGCGCTGCTGCTGCTCCTGCGGGCGCGCGGCGCGCGCACGGTGGTCGTCAGCGAGGTGGCGGCGGCGCGGGCGCGGCAGGCGGCGCGGTTCGGCGCGGACGTCGTGGTGAACCCCCTCCGCCGTGCTGCGGCCGGGGCCGAGGCGGAGCCGGCTGCGGATGCGGATGCGGTGCGGGAGGCTGTCGCGCGGGAGATGGGGGAGGGCGGGGCGGACATCGCGTTCGATGCGACGGGCTTGCAATCCACGCTGGACACGGCGCTGGCGGTGGTGAAGCCGGGCGGGGTGGTCTTCAACGTGGCGATCCACGAGAAGCCGCTGCTCGTCAACCCCAACGCGTTCACCTTCAAGGAGGCGAGGCTCATGGGCGGCATCTGTTACACGCGCGAGGATTTCGAAGAGGTGTTGCGCGCGCTGGCGGCGGGGGAGCTGCCGGACGCGGCGGACCTGATCACTTCGATCGTGCCGCTGGAGGACGTGGTGGAGGGCGCCTTCTTGGAGCTTATCCATAACAAGACGGAACATGTCAAGATCCTCGTCAGACCTTCGCAGGATCCGGATCTCGCTTAGCGGTGGATTTGTAAATACGAGATGAAGCATTGAAAGGAGAAGTAAACAAACCCCCTCACCTGTTGCCAATGCCGACTTGAATTTGTCTTGTGGATTAAATCAAGACGAATCGCAGGGCTTGATGCCGCCGACTCGCCGGAGATTGAGCCAGACTCGGCATGGACTGGTGTGCAAGCTTCTGGGTGAGGTAGACTTGACTGAAGAGAAACGATTGATCGATCTAGGGCTGGAAGAATTCATGTAAAGTAATGACCAAAAACGAATGGATGTTTCCCAGAAATCTCTACATCTCATCTAATGAAGATGAAGTGCCCGAGAACTGCGGATGCTAGAATTGGAACAACGAGCAAGACGAGGAAGAGCCGCGTCAAACATAAGATAAAGAAACGTACCGCAAGATGACAAAAAAAAAAAAAAAAAACTAAATTGAAAAAAACCACTGCCTGCCTAATAGACAAGTAGACCGTCCGTCGTCAAGAGAGTGAACCAAAGAGCATGGTGCTGCACACCACACCCAAGCGTGTAAACAGAGTCAAGCGAGCTTTGCTGGGCGGGCGAAACTCTCTTCCCGCCGATCGCTCCTCACGCACCTCAACGCCGACACGACATGGGCTGCTCTCTCCGCCCCCATCCCGAATGCGAGTCGCAGCAAGAGAGCAGCCGGAGGCTGTACCACGGTACCACGTCTTGATCGATCCCTGGCTTCCGGGGCGGGCAGAGTGACGCGGCCAAGTTCTCTAGCCAGCAGTAGTGGCACGTCGAGGACCGCGCCGTGCAGACGATTGCCGCGCCGGACGGAGGAGCTGATCTGGGGAATCGAAAGATGCCGCTCGGGGATCCGGTGGATCCGCGGCGGTGCACGGCTGCTGCTGATCCTGCTGCTGCTGCTGCTGCTGCTGCTGCTGCTGCTGCTGCTGGAGAGAGCCTTCTAGACGCCATCATGGTGGCCCACGCGTTCACGGACCATATACCTATGCACCTACCGAGACACGCTCCTCGAGGCATCCCCGTGCATCCCCGTCTGTGCAGCGACGGAAGCAGCTTTCCGCGCTACGCTCCTGGGGACACTTTGTGATTCCGTGAGCGAGGGAGGTGCCGCGGTTCACTGGGGACTTGGAGGGAGAGCTCGTCGCGTCCGTTGCCGCACTGGCTGGGCATCAGCCGAGCTGCGCGTCTGCCGGTCGGGATCGGCTGTTCTACCGTATCTTTCTATCGCTCGGCTGTGATGGTTAGTTAGTTAGTTAGTTATCTTGACCCTCCCTGGTACCGGAGTCGGAAACCCGGTGATCGACACGCCGCAGGGGGGATCTCGCGCGGACCTCGCTCCGGGGGCAGAGGCCGAGCCTCCTGTCAAGAGGCTGGCGCTGCGGCTGCATGGATTTGCCGATATCAGCTTGGGCGCTCAGCTGAGCATGGGTGCTCACATTGGGCTGAGTGTACAACGGCCATTGCAAGCGAGGGACTGGATTGGTACGCCCGATGAGCTCAAGGAGGGGGGTAGGGTGGTCAGCTGGTGCAGGATCGCAAGGACATAAGTTTGAAGGAGGCCATTCAGAGAGAGAGAGAGAGAGAGAGAGAGAGAGAGAGAAGAGAAGGGCGCAGACTTAAGAGGGACTGAGGTTGAGGGACTGAGTGAAGAGCAATGCGACGACCTCAGAAAGGGAGAGAGTTTGATACTGGAGTGACAGCTGCGCAAGCGAATTGCTGATCCCGATACCCAAGCAGAGACAGATGAAGTTGATTGATTGATTGCGTTACTACTCGTTCCATTCGTTGATTTCCTCAACCGCGATTTCTCCAGGACCTCCTCGACTACTAACCACCGTACTATCAGACGCGTCTCGAGTTTCGCGTCATTTGACTCCCTCATTTATTTCCTTCCTTCCTTCCTTCCTTCCTCCCTTTCTCCTTTTCTTTCTCCTCTCCTCCTTCACTTTAAGTACCAATCAATGAATCATGAAATCGTATGAAGGGAAAAAGCAATCAACCAATATCCAAGCCAAAACCCAAAAGAACGCAAGCTATATTCGATCTTACGATTCTTCTTCTCTCTTCTCCATGCCTCAATTCCAACCCCAATTCCATCTCTCTCTCTCTTCTCTCCTCTATTTTCGCTCCATCAAGCTGCAAGCTGCGAGCAGAATGGCAAATTATAAAGACAAGTATGAAGCAAATGAATATATCTTCCGATCTCTAAACGGGTTCCGAAAAAAAAAAAAAAAAAAAAGACAGAAACAAATAAACAAACACCTCCCCTCTCCCCTCTCCCTTCCACCGCCCCCCGCCCGCCCCAGAGACATCACGCTCTTCCTGCCCTGCCGTGCCTAAACTACCAAGAGAGAACAGAAGAAAAGAAAACGTTATTGGCATAGGGAGCTGGTGGATAGACATTCATTGATTGCTAGGCATTTGCTTTTCTCTCACTTGCTTGCTTGCATGGCTTTGCTTTGCTCAACCTAGCCTCGGATGCAGCATCGCTGTCACGCCCTGTAATTCCCATCGCAACGACGCTCACAACGGCTGGCTTGAGCTCTTGCTCCTCTTGTGGCCCGCTGATGCCCACCCGTCCCTCCAACTGATTTGTCTTTGTATCCATTCCCGAATCACTCCACTCCACTCCCATCCACAACCCCATCCGAAAGACTTTGCAAAGCAAGGCAAAAGCGATGTAGACACCAGTTGGAAAGGCAATCATAGAACACTATCGCCCCCTGCTTCCCCTTCCACCCACCAATTCATCCATCCATCCACCAAGGAGGCCATCATCTTGCCTCAAAAGACAAAAAAACAAAACAAAAAAAAAAGCCGCCGTGTCCAATTCCTAGAAGAGGGAGGAGGAACACAAAAACCGCTGCCTTCGTCCCAGCTCTGTACAGCTTGGTTTTGTCAACCAACGTCCGAGCTGGAAGAATGAAATGAGAAGAAGAAAATAAGCCCACCCGGACCCATTCCTAACGCCTTGCTTGCCGCACCGAGAATTTTCTAGTGTACCGTCGGCCGTTAAGATCAAAAGAAGAAAAAAGGGGGAGGGGAGAGACCGTGAGACCCTATGTGGAAGGTGCCGAGCGTGGTGTCCATGTGGCCGGTGGGCAGTGACCCCAGTCCAGCGCGTATCCACAGTGCGATGGAGAAGTGAAGTGAAGTGAGATCAATGTGAAAATGCGCCCCGTGTAAAAGCAATTTGAACGCCTGACCGTCGTGGTTATCGTGTCGTGTACTGAGGAGGGAGGTCATGTACGTGAGATTTGTATGGATGGATGGGGTGTTTCGGGTGGGGGACCCGATGAGGGATCCAGGAGGACTCGAAGGGCAGCTACCCGGCACTCCATCTCCGCCGTGGAAAGCCCCCAACGGGCCTCAATCTTTGCTCGAGCGGATGAAGCGTGTTCGAATCCACATCACGAACTTGGTCCAGGCCGAATGCGTCTTCAGCTTCGCCGTTCCCGATCTCCGCTGCTGGTAGCTCTCCGCTCCCGGCATCAGGCTGGGCGTCGGCTGTTGCGCCGCAGAGCTGTACTCGCGGCCGACGAAGACCTCCATCTTCTCCTGCATCGTCAGATCCGACTTGGAGCGCTTCGATCGGGTACGGTCTGAGGACGCGCACGAGCGGCGATGGCCGCGGTCGATCTTCTGTGCCTCCTTCTGGTTGCGCTTCTCGAGCCGGCGGACCTCATCGCGCGCGGCTTTCTCGTCTTCGGCCTGCTCCTTCTCGAGGAACTTGCGCCGCGCCTCGTAGATGGTCTGGCTACGGCCGGGGGGATGCGCCGCGTCGGAGCGCGAGCGGATGCGGAAGCCGTCCAGCGAGGAGCGCAGAGCGTAGGCGGGGGACATGGTGTCGGAGGGCGAGGGGATGTCCGAGGCGAGGCTCGAGTTCAGGTGGAGAGATGTGTGGGAGGTTGCGAGCGCGAGCCGGGATAACGAGGCCTGCTTGGTGGTTGTAGCCCGGAGGGGGTGCTGCTGGTGAAGGGCGGGGGAGGACGACGAGAGACTTATCGATGCCGAGGACGTGTGGGTTGAGAAGTTGGAAGGTGAGCGGAGGTGGTGAAGGTTGTGACTGGAATTGGCATGCGGCTGGGAGTGAGCGTAAGGATGCGGATGGGGATGGTGAATGTTGGTCTGGCTGGCAGAGCGCAATTGGCCTTCATCTTCAGTCAGCGCCGGACTGTGGTCGTAGTTGAGGTCGCTCTCGCGCAGAGAGTGCTGGTACGAGGCCGCGGTGCGCAGCGGAGGCGTGTATGGTCGGGGAGTTTGCTGGAAAGGATGTACAAAGGAACCGGCGCGGTGTCCGCTTGCTGTTGTTGTCGTCGAGAACTGCGAGGCTCCACTGGTAGAGCGGTGGTGATAGCTATGGCTATGGCTACGCCCATGGCCGTGGCCGTAGCCTCGTCGGATCTGCGTGTCGTAGGAGGACCGTCCCGTCGCTCCTGCTGCCGCCCCGACGCCGACGCCGAAGCTGAAGCCATATTCGCACTCATATTCATATCCATATCCATATCCATATCCATACCCGTACCCGTACCCGTATCCATCTCCATCACCGCCTCCGTTTCCACATCCTCCTCCACTCCCACTGCTACATATCCCCAAGCCGCGGCCCTGCTCCGACGCTGGGCGGTCCAGATCCAACGGGCCGCGCTCGCTCTGCGTCAGTTTCCGCAGTATCGGCTTGACCTTCGTCCCTCGCGACTTGGACGATGGCCGCGTCTTGCTGGCCATGGATGGGAAGAGACGGTGCTGCTGTGTGCACAGCAGCGACAAGGCAACAGCTCCAGCGCGAGGTCCACGATCCACGGCCCACAGTCCCTTCGACGATCAACAGCGACTCATACACAGCTACTTCGAATTCTACGTCGGCTCCACGTTACTGCATCTTGCGGACGGTGGGTGGCTACAATGTCGGTGTGGAGGAGTTCGGAGGGACGGGACGAGGAATGAGGACGGGCAGGCCAGCTCTAACGACGGAGCGGGTGCCGACAAGTATATACTGCGAAGGTCGAGAGGGCAGATACACCGCACAGATGGGAGTCTCGCCTGGAGGATGATACGGATCTCTCGTCGTCACGGTGGACAGCGCGGTGCCCTAATGTGTTGACGCTGTTGACGTTGACGTTGACCGAGTTTGTTCGGCTCGCACCGACTCGTATCCGCACTGCCTCGGTCTCTCTCGGTCTCTGGTCTCTCGCCCCAACAACGCAACGCAACGCAACACAATCCAATCCAATCCAGTCCAGTCCAGTCCAATCCAAAGCGTCATGTAGTGTAGCAAGCACGGGGAACCAAGACCCGGATGGTGCTGGTGCTGGTGCTGGTGCTGGTGCTGGTGCTGGTGCTGGTGCTGGTGCTGGTGCTTGGGCTCCTGCTCGTGGCTGCCTCGCCGTCGTCCTCGTGGTGGAATGATGGCTGAGATGCTTGTTGTCGTCGTCGTCGTCGGCGTCGTCGTCGTCAACACGAGGCCCTGCCCGCTCTGCCTGTGGCTTTGCTGCTCTTGAAAGCTCTTGAATGCTTGTCTCCGCACTCCCGGTACTCAGCTGCTGCTGTTGCTGTTCTGTGCTGATGTGCTGACTTACTTACCTTACTTATCGCATGCCTGGCCCGCTCTGGCCTTTCAGCCTTTCAGCGCCGTTGCCGACGACTGGCCATC